AAAATTATTAATGAGCTATTTTGCATTTTCTTTTTCATACTAAATTTTTGAAATCAGTATGTATTTTACACGTATAGCACATTCAATTTGTAGTAGTCACATTTCTAGTGCATAACAGCCAGATGTAGTTGGTAGAAAGCACGGGCCTAGAATTTGTCTTTTCCCCCACCTTGTCTCAAAATCTTTTTTTGGGGGGGGTAATTAAAAAATCGATATACCAGAGAGATCCAAGATGGCTGATCACTAGCAGCTCGGGATTGTAGCTCCCAGTGAAAGCGCAGAGAACGAGAGGACGCCACGCTTTCAGACGAATTTTTGTGGCTCACACACCAGGAGATTCCCAGCGGAGGAGCCCCACGGGTCGCCAGCGCGACTCTTGTGGCCGGCTGCGCGGTTTTGCCGCTGCCTTGGTGCAGTGGTTCTTAGTGCAGAGTCAGAAAAGCACCATCAATCATAACACCGCTGTTTTGGCTGGCACAGTGGGTTGCTCAGATTTTAGCGCTGGGAATCAACAAGTTGGACGTCCACTCAGAAACCCAATTGTAAAGACGGTAATTATAAAGACCACAGATGGATAAATTTATAATGAAGGGAAGAAAACAGCCTAAAAAGGCTGAGAATACCCAAACTCAGAACGCCTCTCCCTCTACAGGGGATCACAGTTCCTCATCAGCAACGGTACAAGGCCTGATGGAGAACGAGTGTGTTCCATTAACAGAAGCAGCCTTCAAAAGGTGGATGATAAGAAACTTCTGTGAATTAAAAGAACTTGTTCTAACCCAATGCAAAGAAACTAAGAACTTTGAAAAAAAGGTTTGATGAAATGTTAACAAAAATACACAATTTAGAGAGGAATATAAGTGAATTAATGGAGCTGAAAAACACAACACGAGAACTTCGCGAACTATGCACAAGTTTTAACAGCCGAATCGATCAAGCAGAAGAAGATATCAGAAGTTGAAGACCAACTTAATGAAATAAAACAAGATGACAAGATTAGAGAAAAAAGGATAAAAAGGAACGAGCAAAGTCTCCAAGAAATATGGGACTATGTGAAAAGACCTAATCTACGCTTGATAGGTGTACCTGAATGTGACGAAGAGAATCAATCCAAGCTGGAAAATACGCTTCAGGATATTATTCAGGAAAACTTTCCCAACCTAGCAAGGCAGGACAATATTCAACTCCAGGTAATACAGAGAACACCACAAAGATATTCCTCAAGAAGACCAACCTCAAGGCACATAATCGCCAGATTCACCAGGGTTGAAATGAAGGAGAAAATACTGAGGGCAGCCAGAGAGAAAGGTCAGGTTACCTATAAAGGGAAGCCCATCAGACTCACAGCAGATCTCTCAGCAGAAACCCTACAAGCTAGAAGAGAGTGGGGGCCAATATTCAACATCCTTAAAGAAAAGAACTTTCAACCCAGAATTTTACATCCAGCCAAACTAAGCTTCATAAGCAAAGGAAAAATAAAATCTTTTGTGAACAAGCAAGCACTCAGAGATTTCATCACCACCAGGCCTGCTTTACAAGAGCTTCTGAAAGAACCACTACACATGGAAAGGAACAACCAGTATCAGCCTTTCTAAAAAATACCAAAAAGTAAAGAGCATCAACATAATCGAGAATTTACATCAACTAATAGGCAAAACAGCCAGCTAACATTAAATGGCAGTATTAAACTTACATATATTATTATTAATTCTAAATTTAAATTGACTAAATCCCCCAATCCAAAGACAAAGACAGGCAAAAAAAGCCAAAACCCATCGGTATACTGCATCCAGACCCATCTCACATGCAAGGATACACAAAGACTCAAAACAAAGGGATGGAGAAAGATTTACCAACCAAATGGAGAGCAAAAATAAATAAATAAATAAAAAGCAGGAGTTGCTTTAAAGCAACAAAGATCAAAAGAAGCAAAGAAGGATATTACATAATGATAAAAGGATCAATGCTACAAGAAGAGCTAAAGATCCTAAATATATACACACCCAATACAGGAATACCCAGATATATAAGACGTATAAAGAGACTTAGACTCCCACACAATAATAGTGGGAGACTTCAACATCAATTTTAGACAGATCAGTGAGACAGAAAATTAACAACGATATCCAGGATTTGAACTCAGATCCAGAACAAGTAAACTTAACATTTATAGAACTCTCCACTTGAAATACACAAAATATACACTCTTAGTACCACATCACACCTATTTACCGGTTTAAATGAAATATTGGTTGGCTGCTTGTTTGTTATTTTCTTCCCTCATTTTTTTTTTTTTATGTCTCTATTATTAAGCACAATTATAGGCATACCTATTTTTAGACTACATTCTAGCCTGGGCAATAAAGCAACACCTCCGTTCTCTCTCCCTCTTCCTCTTTCTCTTTCTTCCTCTCCTTCATTCTTTTTTTATTCTTTTTTTTCTTTCTTTCTTCTTTTTTTTTTTTTGCCCCCCCCTTTCGATATACCATGGTTGTACATATTTATGAGGTATATGGGCTATTTTGATTCGCGCATACAATGCGTAATGATCAAGTCAGCGTAATTGGGATATCCATCACCTCAAACATTTATCTTTGTGTGGAGAACATTATAATTCTTCTCTTCTTGCTATTTTAAAAATACAATAAATTATTAATTTTAATTTTCCTACTATACTATCAAATACCGGAACTTATTCCTTCTATCTAATATACTTTTGTATCTGTTAACCCAATTTCTCTTTGTCCGCTTTTCCTCTTCCCTTCCCAGCCTCTGGTAACCATCATTCTGCTCTCTACGTTCCTGAGGCCAGCTGATTTAACTCCAGTAAGAGTGGGAATGTGCGATTTGTGTTACCCTCCTTCAAAACTCTTACCTGTAAGGACTTTCTTCCCCTCTTCTCTTTTTTGCCTTCCCTTTTGTTATGTAAGTTAACACAGCTTTATTTATTTTTATTTATTTTATTTTATTTTATTTTATTTTTATTTTATTTTTTTTTTTTTTTTGAGACGGAGTTTCGCTCTTGTTACCCAGGCTGGAGTGCAATGGCGCGATCTCGGCTCACCGCAACCTCCGCCTCCAGGGTTCAGGCAATTCTCCTGCCCCAGCCTCCTGAGTCGCTGGGATTACAGGCACGCACCACCATGCCCAGCTAATTTTTTGTATTTTTAGTAGAGACGGGGTTTCACCGTGTTGACCAGGATGGTCTCGATCTCTTGACCTCGTGATCCACCTGCCTCGGCCTCCCAAAGTGCTGGGATTACAGGCTTGAGCCACCGCGCCCGGCCTATTTTTATTTTTTAGCATTACGGCATCTGACTCAATAATGCAGCTGTTATTCTTGTTCCGTGATTCTGGAGTTTAAGCAGGCTTCTGAGTCGCATACTGAAAGGCCGAGAATGTTGTGGATATAAATCTGTGAATACTTATCAAACCATATTTTTTTCTCTTTGCCTCATTAACTATTTATTGTAATGTATACAACAGCCAGTCTGACGTTAGAATAACATATTTACTACATTGGTGTTACCTAGTTTTATGGGGATACCTCTAGGGCCTTCTGGAAAGCGTCTTATAAAAAGTTTTTCATTTCTACTAATACTATCATGTTCAGATCCTGCCTAGATGAGGGACATAGGCATGAAAAACAATGCAGAAATGTTGAGAGTAAGGTACTCAGGGACGTTTGAAATATAGTTGACAGGCGGGGTGCAGTGGCTCTCTCCTGTAGTCCTAGCATTTTGGGAGGTTGAGGCAGGTGGATCGCTTGAGCTCAGGAGTTTGAGACCAGCGTGGGCAACATGGTGAAACCTGTCTCTACTAAAAACATAGCCATGCATGGTGGTACACATCTGTAGTCCCAGCTACTCGGTAGGCTGAGGTGGGAGGATCACCTGAGCTTGGGAAGTTGAGGCTGCAGTGAGCCGAGATTACATCACTGCACTCCAGCCTGGGCAATGAGAGCTTTCTAAATAATAATGAATAATAATAATAATACCCTTGCTACGTGAAAAAAAAAAAAACAAGAAAAAAGGGAAAAAAGGAAATATACTTGATGTAAGGATATTGCATGTTTTGTTGGCCCTTCATTTATTTGGAAGGAAGATCAGTAAGTGAAAAGAATCCTATATTCCACAGTTATTGACTATAATACCACTAAAATTATCCAGAATGGTAAAGAAATTAAATATTCTAGTGAAGTGATTGTTTGTGAAATTAAATTAACAAACATTACAACTTTAATTTTAATAATTTTGAATGGAAGTATTTCATAATCAATTACAACCCCCCGTCTTAATATTCGGAGAGTGTTGAATAGCATGTATACTTTTCTTAGGTTCTTTGTTGAACTGAACTGCGTTATTCTGGGGCAGGGAGAGGTAAATAACTAAGATTTACTGAGTAGCCGCTCTGCCAGGAGTTGTGCTTTGTATTACGATGGCTCTTGTTATTTAACCCGTAGTGTCCCCCAGCCCAGTTCACGGAAGTCACTGTGTTTTACCTACTGGGTAGGCTTATACACACGTTAATTAGGTAGGTGGCCTGCCCTGTCTAGTAAGTCACAGAGCTGGTATTTGAACCCTAGCAGTTTGGTACTAGAGGCCATGATTTTAACACTTGGATACTTATGTAAACTTCACCTCAGCACTCTGGGGTAGACATTATCACCCCCATTTTACAGGTGTGGAAACTGAGGCTCAAAAAAGTTAAGTAACACTTCAAGTCAGCTGGTATATGGCTAACATTTCTTTTTTTTCTAGAACTCTTTTACATTGGCCCAGGTAAGGCTTGCATTTGCCAGTCAATGAAACCGTTTCTTTCGTCTTTCTTTGGCTCGCTTATCCTCCCTTTTCTTTCTCCAGAAAACATCTTTTGTAATCATGAGGCAATATTGGAGTGATTGGGTTTCCCACGTTACAAAATGTGCTCTGAGATCATTTGGAGAAACATAGGCTTTGCAGAGTTTATATTCTGAACCCATTGAAAACTTTGTTTTCCAGAGAGATTGGAACAATTATCAGGTCATTGGGATGCTGCCCTAGCGAAGGAGAGCTGCACGATCTGATTGCAGAGGTGAGTCGGGGAAACGTTTCACTCAGCATTCTCTCCTGAGACAGCTACTCCTTGTAATTAGCAACAACCCTTCCTGAAACTGAAACAATGCCCTAAACTACTGAATACGCTCAGTGGAAATTCCAGGATAACTATTCATATTAGCCAGCCAACAGGATCTGAGAGAATTAAGAGCAGATCTTGAAGAAATGACGATGAACAAGTAGCATGTAAAGAACCCACTTTAGAAACGATCCTTTCTGTAAAATTAGTTAAGCAACGCCAGCAGATGCAAGGGGTTGACCGTCTGCGGAAAGGCTACTGACAGATGAAAGGAATACAGTAAATAATGCCAGTTCAAAGGGGAGAGAAGCAGAAATACAGACAGTAAGGAATTTTTATTTATTTGAGGAAATAACACTATTTTTTTCTTTTGAGATGGAGTTTTGCTCTGTCGCCAGGCTGGAGTGCAGTGGCGCGACCTTGGCTCATGACAGTCTCCACCTCCCGGGTTCAAGCAATTCTCCTGCCTCAGCCTCCCGAGTAGCTGGGACTACAGGCATGTGCCATCACATCCAGCTAATTTTTGTATTTTTAGTAGAGATGGGGTTTCACCATGTTGGCCAGGATGGTCTTGATCACTTGACCTCAGTATCTGCCCGCCTCAGCCTCCCAAAGTGCTGGAATTACAGCCGTGAGCCACTGCGCCCAGCCAAAACTAACTTTTAGAACAAGTAGTAAACAGAATAAATATTAAGAGTGAACTTTACATTGACCAGAATCTAGGCATTTTAAAGACTAGGCATGTGTAACAGTGGGGATGAGTTGGTGAAGAGAATGATCTGATAAAGCAGTGTGTGAGCAGCCCGACATGAGAGCGCTTCATGCTCTGTTTGACTGTCCATAAAGGTCTCTGATCTCATTTCAAATGCAGCATTTGGTTCAACAAAACAGAGACCTTAAGGGGAAAAGGCTGCCTGGAGAAGCCAGGAGAAGAATCTTTAGAGCATTGCTTAGCTAGCCACAAAGATTTTAGTGGCGTCTGGGGATGACAAGGGGGATAAGGGAGACAGGTAAGGAAGGAGAATTTCATCTTTTTCTTTTGCACCTAGCACAGTATTTGCTTGTTCCATATTAAGTTGGAGAGAAGAAATTGTGACCTTGGGTGAGTCACTGAACCTCTGTTGGGTATCAGTTTCTCCATAATAATAACTACTTCAAAGTTTGCTTCAAAGATAAATGAAAGAAGGTACAACAATACGTGTTTTGAATCCTAAAGCATTATAAAAAGTTAAGGAATGAAAGATTAGAAAGATGATTCTGTTGACAGTTATTAGCACCTTGGTGACTAAAAAGCAGTATCAATTTTTTTTTTTTTTTTTTAACGTTTTTTTTTTTTTTTTTTTGAGATGGAATCTCACTCTGTCACCAGGCTGGAGTGCAGTGGTGCAATCTCAGCTCACTGCAACCTCTGCCTCCTGGGTTCAAGTGATTTTCCTGCATCGACCTCCCGAGTAGCTGGGATTATAAGTATATTCCACCACGTCCAGCAACTTTTTGTATTTTTAGTAGAGATGGAGTTCCACCATGTTAGTCAGGATGGTCTCGATCTCTTGACCTTGTGATCTGCCCGCCTCAGCTTCCCAAAGTGCTGGGATTACAGGCATAAACCACCATGCCTGGCAGTATCAATTTTTTTAAGCCTTTAGAAATATTCAGTAAAGGAATCTAAGTTGTAAGAACACATTGTTTTTACATTTTAGGATTCAGTAAAGCTATTTTTACCAAGAGGAAGAGAAAAAGTTTGTTTTTCCTGAGTTGATGCTCACATTAAAAAAAAATACTGATTACTGCCTTGAAGGGTTTATGCACGAAGCTGGAATTAGTGTTAGGGAAAAGCAAGCTGGCATGCGGAAGAGCTAAGAACTAGAGGCTGACTTCACAGTGAAATCATAGTCATCATATGCTCAAGAAAGTAAGCAGAACAATAAAGAAAAATAAAAATGCCTCTGAAGGTCAGAGGAGGAGAATCTCTAGAGCCTAGTCCCTTTATGGTTTGTTTGTATGTTTTAATCTCTGTCAGGAGTCAGCAAATCATGGTGCCTGGCCCAATCCTGCCCACCACCTGTGCATGTAAATAAAGTTTCATTGGAACACAGCTAAACTCATTTATTTATATACTATCTGTGGTTGTTTTCTGACTACAAGGGCAGAGTTCGGTAGTTGCAACAAAGACCTGTGACTTGGAAAGCTTAAAATATTTACCATCTGGCCCTTTGCAGAAAAAGCTTGCCAACTCTTCATCTAAGGGTTTCTGTGCCAAAAGAGAGCAAATACCACATCTAGAACTGGAAGATCTGAGTTCAAGCCCCACAGCCACCACTTATAGCCATGTGGCCTTTAGTGAGCCACTTAATCCTTCAGAGCCTGGTTCCACATCTGCAAAAGGAGTAATAATATGAAAATGTTTTTTATGAGTATTAAATTTAATAACTGAGGAATCAGCTGTTACTTAGTAGGCACGCAGTACAGATTTGAGTTTGTTTACACTCCAGGTGGCTCTCTAGGATAATATCTCCACTGGTTTGGGCAATTAGCCACAGTGGGTGCTTAGTTCTTAAGTTTTATTTTATTTTTACCCTTTTTTAGGCACATGACACAACCTTTGAAATGCAGATATTTAGAATACTTACATACCCATAAGTGGTCACTGAACTATTAAGCTCTGTAAATATTTTTCTGTATTTGTATACCAACACTATTTACTCTAATTAAATTGTAGTGATAAACAGCTTTGGGTACAACTACCTTTTAAGAACTTTTCCAAATAAATTTGAATTCATAAATACAAGTATGTATTTGTACATACTTAAATACATTAAATAGTTAATATATGTAAACACATTTAGAAAATCAAAGCCCCATAAAAGTCACCATCTAGGGGTAAATGTCATATTGCTAAATGTTCTGTAATAGTTTGAGAGATCAAACTATTTAGCTGTATGTGTGTATATGCTTTAATATTGTTCTATAAGGCTGGGTGCAGTGACTTGCTCCTATAATCCCAGCACTTTGGGAGGCTGAGGCAGGTAGATCACTTGAGGTTAGGAGTTTGAGACCAGCCTGGCCAACATGGTGAAAACCCATCTCTACTAAAAATACAAAAAAATAGCTGGGCGTGGTGGCACATACTTATAATCCCAGCTATTTGGGAGGCCAAGCGGGGAGGATCACTTGAACCTGGGAGGCAGAGGTTGCAGTGAGCCAAGATCGTACCACTGCACTCCAGCCTGAGTGACAGAGCAAGACTCTGTCTCAAAAAAAAAAATTGTTGTATAGAAAGCTGAAACCTGTGCACTCTCTCTGGTTGTCACGTACTTGACTTTTAGTGTCGACACATTCTTTTCTCTTTAATTTTTATAACTTTCTTTTTTTTTTTTTTTGAGACGGAGTTTCGCTC